TGGATGCTCCTTAATGTTTTCAGGGGAAGCAAATGAAGATTGGGATTATTTTCAATTACTTTTGGTCTCTGGCTACATGAGACCCCAGACCTTATTTATTTACATATATGTGCAAAGAAAAGGACTGGAAAGAAAGAAACCAAAACACTAGAAGTGGTTAACTCTGCATTGGTGGGATTATTAAGCATTGACACTTTTATGTAAGTTTTGAATAAAAACATGTATTAATGGTAAGGGGTGCATTATTGTTGTTTAAAGAAGGTATACATACTTTCAGTAGAGTGATCTGGGCAGGTTGAATTGCAAAGGGTTAGGAGTGAATAGGGGTGATAAAGTGGGCTTAGATTACTTTCTCAAGAAGTTGCTATGAATAGGAGAGACTTGGGCAAAAGCTTAAAGAGGTGGGAAATCCAAGACATTTTTGGAGGGAGGGGGCTTTTAGAATAGTGAGATCTAAAGAGTTTGACAAATAAGGCATCAAACACCCACTAACAATGTATTGTTTTGAAACATTTTTGATAATTTGTATGTCCTGGAGGCAGAGGGAATTTTATGATATAATCTTTAATTAGCTTTGAGGTGTTTCTCACTTGGTCCAAATGATATTGATTGAGAACTAAAAGGTAATTTCCTCAGCTGCGGCTTAACTGAGTCAAGAGTCTGACTTTCCAACAATTAAGACATTAGGGCTGTAGTGATAACAAAGATAAACTTTAAAGGACTCTGACGTTTAAAAGAGGAATGCTGATTCAGGAATGCTAATTGAAATCTGTAAACTCACAGTTAAATTAGATGCAGATTTGTTTGTTAAATTCTGGGATTCCAGAAGTTAGAGGAAGGTGCATGATGAACAAAATTAGGTATATTTCTTATGTGAGATATTAATGGATTGAACTTGTTATGTCCACAGCTGAATATAAATACACTCAAAACCAGTTTGCATTAATTCTTAGATGATTAATTAAATATACCCTAAAAGAAAATGAAGGTTTGGGGGCATAGTTTCCCCTGGGAGGGTATCAAAGAACACGGTGATGGTAGCATATCCCATAATGCTCCCTTGGAGGTAATATTAAGTAATTCTCATGTTCTCAAATTCCCAGAGATGACTAACGTGGGAGTTGGTGAAGCTGATGAAGCATTGGATTTGGTCTGTGATAGGTGAAAACATACCTACTATACAGGTTTCAGCTGAGAAGAACTGTCAGATGTGTATCTAAATATAATTTTCTCAGACTTTTTCTTTGAGTATGGAGTACATATTTGGAAGAGGTTACAAGGAGATGGGGGGGAAGTGATGAATGCAGATTGCTATGGTTAATTAATGAAGCATAAAATTGGAAAGAGATATTAACTTGTCAAGAAGGTGTAAATGAAAAGACAAAAGGATAGATTTTGCAAGAACAGCCAGGGTGTGTATCAGGACAAGGGAAGCAGGATGGCAGGTGTAGGTTACAGAGTGGGAGGAGGATAAACCTCTACCTTGATGGAGCTGGTGTCCAAAGAGGCATGATCGAGTTCTGGGGCACATCTGTCCCAACATGTGTGAGCACAACATTGAAAATGAGCAGGGGAAATACTGGAGAAGAAATATATTTGGGGGCCACTATGTAGAAAGCATCTGAAAGATTCAAAACAGGAGGAAGGTTAACAAGTTCAAGGGAAAATGCAAAGCAAGGAAATGGGGAAGGGGAGAAGGAAACAAATGTGTATCAAGGTTCTACTAGAAAGCAAGCGGAAACTTCTGATGCAGCTATTTTGTTGCCTCTATATTAACTCAGGCTTTTAAATGCAGTTTCCTCAAACTTCTCTCTCAAAATGTATGTTAACTACTTATGAAATAATGAATTAACATGCACAACTGATGTACTTGACTCTCACATATGGGCAAGATTTCCATTTTCTACTTTGTTCATTTCTATAACATTTAAGTTTTTATAAGTATACATTACTTTTATAATAAGACAAAACCAGAAAAATTCTATCAGAATGAGGTTAGCTTCCATGGATAAGCCACTTGTACCCCCAAATAATCATTGTGAAGTGTTGTATTCATGTTTTAAAAAATGTATTGATAGTAGTCATAGCAATAATAATATTATATAATAAAAGGATATTACTGAGCATATTACATATTACACATCACACTCACATTTTCCTTAAAGGTTAGGTTTAAAACCTCACCTCCCCACCCCAAACAAAATGATATAGGTGTGGCTCCACTGTTGCCAACAGAACCACGCACAAATCTATGACGATGTATAAAGAGATTTAGATAACTGTGTGGGTGATATGAGCAGGCAGAGGCATTGGAACTCCCCTCTCCACCCTATACACCACTGGTCGATAGCTACCTTAAGGGCTCCACGACTTGAATTCCCAAACATCTGCCTACAGATTTTGCCTATAATCTCTCTTTTAGTCAATGCTCAATTGTTCTCAAATTTAGTGTGCATAAGAATTACCATACCAAGAAGCACACACAAAGCCATGTATCCTATACTTTATGGGTGATTTAAGGAATTTTTCAGAGATAATTTTGTTTGTACTTAATTTTTGTCTTACTTGCTGACTTTACAGCCACGCTGTTCCTTTGTATAATATGAGATTTGGCTCTACTTGAGAGAACTGTCAGAAACTTAATTGGGGATTCTCTTTGCCTCCTGAAGAAAAGAATTAGAAAACTTACTGTGGTTCAAATACCTTCTCAACCTTCCAAAGCTAGTATATAATAAACGTTTAATTTTTAGCCTGACCAAGAATCCTATAGAGGTATAGGCAACCATCCTTTATTTTTTCTAATGAAAGATGGAGTCCTATTATTAAGCAGTCAGGTCTATTTATCAATCTAAAACAAACAAGTATGACCATTGTAACTCTAAGAGACAAATTGGAGAATTTGAGATGTAACCCATTGAGGAGTCAAGCAGATTCTCAAAGAATGAACAGTGACTTTGGACAGAATGATTTATGGCCGTTTGTGAGATGAGTGGGGAAGTAAATGGTTAAATGAGTGTGTCTGCCAGATAGGTTCCTAACCCCAGAGTGTGGGAGAGAAGGATGTATGGGATTGGATTAGGATCCCAGGTGAGACTCAGACAGATAAAGATGGGGTCCACAGGTTGGCTGTGCAAACTGTGTCCAGCACAGGGCCCTGATCTGCTGAAGGGGAAAGGGGCAGTGTCTCAGCAGGGGACTGTGCCTGCAGGGTTGGGGGTTGGGCTGCCTTTTCCCATAGGCTCAAAGGCAATATATAGGCCAGTGGTAGACCAGGGAGGATGTCTGCTTCATGCACTAAACTTCACACAAGTTTAAGGGTCAGTTATTTAAACAGGATGTCTTGGCTTCAAAATGACTGTGAGATGGGTGATACTGTATGTTGCTAACTCACATATTTTTCCACTCTTAAGGCTTCTCCTCCTGTCCCTGTTGGAGAGGGGTGAGTAGCACTCAAGCAGATACTTGGTTCTCTGAGATTTCCATAATTAGGGAAAAGATGGAGCAGGGCAGGAAAACAAAAGTGACTCTAAATTATTCTGTCTGGTTCTACAAAAAGTCTAAGCATTTGAGGGAAGGGGATTAGCAGGTATATAGACCAAACATCTTGGCAAACCAAGAGGAAACAGAAGATTTCCTTGGGCTGTGGGAAGGAGTTGTGGAAGGGGAGGAGAGTGGAGGGAAGGGGAGGGAGAGAGACTGATCAATTTGTGTGAACTCTGAATGCAGAGGGGACCCTTGAGCCCATGTCTTAGCAACTCCCAGAAGGAAGAAATGGTTGTGTGGCATGTCTGGGACAACAGGACTAGAAATATCTTGTAGATGATTCCATGCCCAGGCCTGACACGATAGCAGCAGAACAATGGGCATCTCAATACTACCAAGTGAAAGAGGACCAAGCAGCATGGCCCAACCCCCAGTCCTACTTTGGCATTGTTTAAAACAAGATATTCTCAGGGAAGACTGAGACGAAGTTGTTTTCTGCCAATTTGGCAGATGGAGACCTCAGAATTTAAAAAAATATAAAATGAAAAAAAAATTACCTGAATATAAATTCTGAGATTTACATGTACTATCACTACCCTTAAGTGAATATATCAAAATGGCTGTATCAGAGTCATGGTTCTTGCCTACTGTGTTCCAGGCACTGGGCGAAGTATGGTCACCACCTGCTCTGTCAAGTAAACTTCACAAAACAGCACTGCATGGCAGATGTCATGATTATCCCAGTTTACAGGTGAAACACTGTAGCTCAAAGACACAGCGACAAGTAGAGGGCCAGGGATGCAAACCCAGGTCTGTTTTCCTTCCTGCATTATGCTCTAGTTATCAGTGACATGTACCTAAACTCAGGGACAAAGGGAATACACTGGGGTGCTCAAAAGGTAAAGAAAAAAAAAAGGAGCTCAGTCCATTATAGCAATGGGTCTGTCTTGTTACTGAAAGTAGAGTACATAAATAATACTGATATGCAGAGGGAAAGCCTGTCACTAGATCAAAAGAAGGAAACTCTTAGGCAAGGAATGGAAGTTCCTAGGTGACACTAGACTTACAGAAACCAGGTCAGACAACAAGCCTCTCTTCTCCATATCAGAGGCCTCTTTTCAGAGGCATAAGTATTGAATGTGTTTTCAATATGCTGTGGTGAGTTTCGATTAAAACAAACCAACCAACCTACGGATGTGTAGATGTATTTTCACGAGCCTATATAATTTCCATTCATTCAACTCACTGGAGCACTCCTAAAGCCATTAGGCTAGAAAAACGAAAGCTTATACACACACACACACACACACACACACACACGCACACACACACACATGTGCACAGGCACGGTCAATCAATTCCAAAATTCCTACCCAAGTTTAAGCAAAAGAACAGATATACTTTAGCATTTATTTTAAAAATCTGTCTAATTCCTCAAAGACCCAGGTTAGACTTAAATGTTTATATTTAAGGCTTTGGATACGTGCTATTCTCCTGTGAATACAGGACCAGGTTACCTGGTTAGGGTCAGGATCAACTTCATCCCAGTTGTGAGTGACATGGCCTTGGTCAATGGATTCAAAAGGCTTGTGAGAAACCGAAGGTAGAATCCTATATAGCCAGCTGGGGGGAAACAAGGACACATAAGCCTTAGGGTGATGTTATGAGTGACGCACAGACTGGCTCAGGAAATACCATTAGGAAGACGCTCAAGTCAACAATGATCTGTGGGCTTTAATGTGAGAAGCAATGACACAGCATCATTTCTTAATAGCCACTGCTGCCCATAGCCCTGGCCTCTTCTCACCTTTCCACACGATCCATCACTCTTCAAATTGAGCCTCTAGCCCTTGGTTATTTCCATACTGACAAAAAAAGAATTGCCTTTCCCAATGACAACTATAAAGGAAGGGAAAGTACCTTGAGGGATATCTGTGCAGGCAAATCCACAGAAAAACATTAGCTTATGTACATATTGGATACTAATCCTTGCTCTGGCTCTGGAAAGTGAGGACAAGGAGTCCTACACAGATTGAGACAATATGGGTGGTTTCTTTGTCATTTTTGAAATATAAATCAATTTTCTTCTTTAAAATTATAGAAGTAATTCATGCCAGTGATAAAAATAATTCAAGTAATTAAAAAAGTCTCAAAAGGTAGACTTAGATGGCTTTCTCCTCCAGTTTCTTCAGAGCCAATCCTCAGAGACATCAGAACTTAACAATTTTCTTGTACATTCTCTAAGATATTTCCAATGCCTAATAAGAAAAATTGCCAAATTGTTGTACCACTTTATTCTCACAACACTAATGTGTGAGAGTGCCTGATCACCCACATCTTTACAAATAGGGGGTATTATTACTAATTTTGGCCTTGTAGGTAAAAAATACTATCTCATTTTTATTTTGTATTACCATTATTATGAGTAAGGTTGAGAATCTGTATGTTTATTGGCCCCTTGGAATTTTTCTATAAATTACTTGCCCAAGTCCTTTACCATTTTTCTATTGGGTTGTTTTTTTTTTTTTTTTTGCAGTACGCGGGCCTCTCACTGTTGTGGTCTCCCCCGTTGTGGAGCACAGGCTCCGGACGCGCAGGCTCAGCGGCCATGGCTCACGGGCCCAGCCGCTCTGCGGCATGTGGGATCTTCCCAGACCGGGGCACGAACCTGCATCCCCTGCATCGGCAGGCGGACTCTCAACCACTGTGCCACCAGGGAAGCCCTCGGTTGTCTTTTTGATGTCAATTTGTAAGATGTTTAGGAAATTAACATATCTAAAATTATAAGAGCATCCATCTTTACTTTCTTATAGTACATTTCTGGCTTTGTTTCAGGAAGAGAAGACTCTGATGAAGGAACCCTGAAGGACACCAGGAGGAGAACCATCCAGAAGAGGGACCCAAGTCCTTTCAGAGGCTGTTACCTTGACAGGGTACAGCAGGAAGAGGAACACCACTTGGGGCAATGGAAGACCAGACCTGCTTGAACAAGCTCTAGCCCTTTAAGCCCCAGGACAGTCTACTTCAGGGGGTGGAACTGACCTGGCCCTACACTGAGCCATTTGGGAGATTAAAGGGCTAGCTAGACTTGTTCAGTTTTCTTTTGATTCCTCTAGCTCTAGGTGAAGTAATCTCAGACATTGGACTTCGGGTCATGAATTAACTAGGCCATATAGGTTCTATATGGAATTGAGAACATGTGTGTGTGTATTTTAGAACCGGCTGTGTGATCCTGGGCAAGTTACAAGACTTTCTTGTTTGTTTTTTTTTTTTGGTCACCCTGCCTGGCTTGTGAGATCTTAGTTCCCTGACCAGGGACCAAACCCAGGCTCTCAGTAGTGAAAGCTCAGAGTCCTAACCACTGGACCGCCAGGGAATTCCCAAAACTTTCTTGATCCTATGTTCTTCATCCTTATCTCCTAGGATTGTTGTGAGGATTCAGAGTTTATGTACCTAGAATGCCTGGCACACAGTAGGTGCTCAATTACTAGATGTGTGTTGAATTGTCTATCTGTCTATCCCTAATCATCTGGGTTTTTATGATGGTCCAGATTTCCTACATTCTCTGTGCTGGCTCTCACCTTCTCAGGACCTAAGGGATCAGCTAACTAATCAGATAAAAATCAACCCCTGATAGATATACTCTCTGATAGTTTGTGGGTGGGAGGTGGGGAGTTCCTGAACTCTGTGGCTTAAATGAGTAGTGACTAAATGTAGGAATTTCAGGCTTTCTCATCTATGGATGGGGCTGGTTCCATCTTCCCACTGGGGATTTTGAGCATTTTCACAAAATTCTTGTGGATACCTTTGAAGAGTTCTAAACAGATGGGTGAACCATGCCTAGTGTCCCTTGTTTTTTGGCTGAGTTTATAAAACTCCCCAGGCAGCACTACACTGCCCTGGACAGAGATTTAATTCTGATTCAGGGAATGGTGCCAGCATCTTAATGAAATGCCAACAGCTCCTTTTCAGCCTCCTGGAACAGAGCTCTGCTCCTGCTGACTGAAGATATTGTTGAATAATGGGGGCAGGCAGCAGAATCCAGAGTCCAGGTGTCCAGTTAGTGAATGGGTCATAAAGTCAAGAACATAGTCATGGAGGCCAGGCTGTCATAAATTAGAATTGACAGGAATTGTCTGTGTGCTTACCTTACCTTGGCTATCTGGGCTTGCAGAGAGAGAGAGAGATGATTAAATAGTGATAGAATTAATCTTGATTTGACAAGTATGGGAAACTATCTCTTCCCCCTCCATGTACAGATCTATCGAGAGGGAAGCAATATTGATATTGACATGGTAGCATAGCACCTGCCACTCAGTTTTCCGACAGCCTTCTAGGGATACACTGTATTGGAAGGAGACACTCTGCTACTGTGGCAATAATGATGATGATAAAAATTAATGTTAATTGAGCACTCACCATGTACCCGGCAATGTGCTAAGCACCTTACATATGTTCTTTCCCTTAATCCTCATCACAGCTATGAGATAAGTACTATTATTATCTCTTTTACAAATGAGAAACCAGAAGGCTCTTGGAGGGTACATGACCTGCCCAAGGTCACATAGCTGGAAAGAGAAGGAACCAGGATTTAAACTCAGGAGGCCTGCCTCCAGAGTGGGCACGATTAACCCCTAAGGGAAACAACCTATCATTTGTGTAGTCCATGGTGCTTTTGTTCTCACTATCTCATTTACTTCTCAGGAGGACTCGCTGGAGACAAACCCAATCACCTTCCACTAAGCAGTACAAGACTGCCTGCCCTCCTCCCCCTAACTCCAATATAAGCAGCAGCCCTCTACACAGGTGTTCTATTCTGAAATTCCCATAATTAGACCCTGCTTGTTTAAGTCACAACACTCAACTGCTTCCCTAAACCACAACAGGTACTGCAACCAACCTGCCCCATAGGAGTTAACCAAGAGACTGAGTTCATTGACCTGGCTTGTAGGATTAGAGCAAACATGGATCATGACATGTTGTGCTAATGAATGTGCTGGTTTCCAGCAAAGACAAAATCCGAGGAGAAAAATCCTTATTAATTCAAACCACCAGGGGCCATAATACATGACCTTTCATCTAACCCAAGCTTGGATTATCCAACGTTTTCATCCAAAGAACATAATACTTCTAGTCAGCTGAGGAAGATATTGCACTGAATCTTCTATAATTTTGAGTTAATCATTATAAAAAAAACTCCCAAGTAAATCAAAATTCGGAACTCAACTGCACAATCCCAGGGGAAGGCCAGACTGTGAGGAAGACTTTCTTCTGAGTACAAGCAACAAATTATAAATGGAACTAGACATGTCTGTTTTCTAGGCTCTGTGCAGCTGCTCTCTCCCCTTCTTCTATCAGTCACTTGATTCTAGCTGGAGATGAGGTTCATCCTCCCCTCACTATGACCCAGAGCACAGCCTGTAAGAAGCAGGATCTTGGGCAACCCTGGGAGGCTGTGGCCCAGGTATAGGAGGCAGCACTAAATACTAGTCATAGCTCCCATAGACGGCAGGTCAGAATTAACCTAATCCTTTTACCTTCTTTTATTGCTGCTCCGTGGACAAGTGAAAGCTGATCCTGAGAGCTGCTCAGCATACAGATTGTAAGGGCAAACTTGAGGATTATTCTAAAACAAAGGAGGCAATAAATGACATCACTCCATCAGAAAAGCATTCCATCTTCCCATCAAACAACTCAGTGGGTGAATTCTGTCTTGGATGGCGATGCTCTGAGCCACTCACTGCACATGACCATCTCCAACCCATACGTCCTTCTTGTAATAATGTTTTAGGTGACTTTCCTCCTTGATTAGAAAAGTAGTACATGCTTATTGTAGAAAATTTATAAACTATAACCCATTATCTCACCATCCAGAAATAACCCAATGTTGACATATGAGTATATTTCCTTCCATTCTTATCCTCCAAAATGGCAACGCTATGATATGTGTAGTCCTGTTAATAATTAGCACTTAAAAAAAAGAGGAAACACTATATCTTGAGCATTTTTTCATGCCATGAAATGTTCTTAAAAATTTTTGACAAAATTTTTGTTTGCCATATTTTTGCTATTTTAACCAACACTAGTATGAACATCTTTGTGCACACATTTTTTTTTTTTTTTTAACAAGGACTGATTATTTTCTCATCATTGCCATATCTTATGCTGTTCAAGGGAACTTTAAGGAAGTCCCTTAACCCCGGACCTAGGGGATCTTCTTGAAAGCCTTAAATTTAATGTTACTTTTTTGGGACTAAGTGCTTTGCCATAGGTAACCATTATCCAACTTTAACTTTGTATTGTCATTGTTCTGCATCCCAATTGTCTTAATGATTTGTGAAACTCCTAGACAGTTCACAGGCTAATTTTCAAGACGGTGGGTAGAAGCACTTGGCCTGAAAGCTGGTCATTCATTCCTATAATTCAGAGTTCTCCAAGCTGATATTCTATTCACTCATACCTGTCCTTCTGGCAGGGCACCTGGGCAGCGAGGATCCTCTGAGGCACACTCATTACCGAATCCAGAAATGTACTGCATGTGACAAAGACACAAAGGCCACCATTAATGGGATTTAAAGAGTATTTTGCTATTTTGACTGTCTATGAAGGTAAGAATTTCTTTATGACATATGTTTGTGGATCACATTCTATACATAACATCTTTGCTATGTCTTGGCATGTGAACCATTTAGGAAAGATAATTTCTCTGTGTGAATTTTAAAGACCACCAATTAATTGGGAGAAGAGTGCTGGATATTACATGGACTTTCCATCCTTAGCTGTACTTAGTTGATTTATGGGCTTATTCTTAATTATCCCACTCCAAGAACAGGTTCTTTAATTCTGGACCCATCAGGGAGTTCCTGAGAGGGGAGATGGCTCAGGCATCACCTCAACTCCAGGTTAGTAAGATCTGGCTGGCCTGGCTTGCAACCTCCCTGAGGTTGGAGCTCCACTTCCCCTTCATATGATGAAACAAGTAGCTGTAAAGAGTGTGTGGATCCAATCTGACAGCAAAATCCTTGAGAAAAAGCCCTCCAACCAGCCTCGCTGCAGGCAAAAACCTATATCATCTGGCTCATCTATGGAGCACTTGTAAATATATTTGCATCTATGTGGATATAGGAAAACAAGTTTTGAAGATATGCGTGGCTTTCAGGAGAATAGCCAGATCTGTCCTCAGTGGCACAATGGAGTTCATTCTGATTGTCATCAATTTACTTTTCATCCAGAGGAAAAAAAGGGAGTTTCTCAATAAAGTGTGCAGAGCCTCTAAAACTTATTTTGACAACACTTAAACACACCTGTGAGTTCTTGTTCACTGTCTGGCTTCTCTGCTAGTTTATAAGCTCCATGAAGGCTGGAACTATGGCATCTTGTTTACCTCTATATGCCTTGTGCCTGGCTTATAGAAGGTACTCAGTAGATATCTACTGTTTGATTTAGTTTTTCCCTTACAGCCTGTTCTATTCTATTTATTTATTTATTTATTTTTGGCTGGGTTGGGTCTTCATTGCTGTGCATGGGCTTTCTCTAGTTGTGGAGAGTTGGGGCTACCCTTAGTTGTGGTGCACGGGCTTCTCGTTGCAGTGGCCTCTCGCTGTGGAGCACGGGCTCTAGAGCTCAGGCTCAGTAGCTGTGGCGCACGGGCTTAGTTGCTCCGCAGCATGTGGGATCTTCCCTGACCAGGGCTCGAACCCCTGTCCCATGCATTGGTAGGCAGATTCTTAACCACTGCGCCACCAGAGAAGTCCCCCTTAGAGCCTATTCTAACACGAGTGGATGTATCCTGATCTAAGTACAGTTAGAACCCCCTTTTCTCTAACTTAAACATCAAAAAAAAGGCCATTTTCTTCCCATAGTTGTTCCTCATAAATGTATCAATACTTAATTTTAGCCCACGATAATGAAAGTGCAGCGTCACTCAGTGAGTGAAATGCCACCATCTGAGTACATGTCTTTAAGAGATATAAGAAGGAAGTAAGTGGGTGGAGGATAAACCCTCCAGAATTCTCAGCAGCTTGGAGCAGGATGAGATTGATGTAACACACCTGGATGTGGGAGCAATGATCAGGGCAACAGCTGCCCATATTTGGAAGGAATATCAAATGTGAAATGTTATGACCTAGAAAGCAATGGAAGTGAAATTATTCTTTTTTGCCTCCAGACACAATATTTTTTTATATTTGAAAATCTATCAGCACTAAAAAGAGTGTGTTATATTACACAGAGATTGGTTAACAAGCAGCATGCAATTTGGAATGATATCCTTGGGGAAAGGGCAGAGACCATCCAGCATTCTGACTCTCCACTGAATACAATTTTCTTCTCTCTAATGAACCTCATGCTCACTATCAAGAGGATTGAATCTGAGCTGCTGAGAAATGGTATTGACCTGAAATTATCTTCAGTTCTGTGGAATGGAATTGCAGACCAATCTTGCCTGAAGCCACTGGGTATCTCAGTGGCTTCACTTTGTTCAACTGCAGCGTTGTTTCCCTCTGCAAAGGGAGGCAAGAAGGTCTGAGGCTGAGTTTTCTAGCAGGAGTGGGTGGGTTTACTCATTAACCTTCTCCATTCTTTGCAACTGCTGGCCTCAGAACAGAGTCCAGGGTTATTTGTACGTTGGGAACAAAGGAAAAGAGACTTACTATATGTAATTTTAAAGCATATGCTTCAGACTGCTTTAAAAAGTAGAAAAGAAAGTAGAAAGAACAGCTGGTGCTTTGGAAGGGAGCCATCCAGCTCAGAGAGAGGTGTGAGTTCTGAATCAGTTTCTCAATCTTAGCTGAGGTGCATTGGCTGAAGAGGGGGATGAAAACTGCTGAGTCATTCTCAAACCAGTTGGTTTTTCTAATCTCCTGAGAGAAAAATTACAGATGAGTTTGTTACAGTTTTAAAATATCATGTGCCTTACTGCTGAAGGTATCAGAATCAAGGAAGCAGTATTCTGCAGCTGCTTTCCCAAGGCTTTGAGATCAAGGACAGAATCTGAACTCTGCTTATATCAGCTGTGAAAATCCAAGCTTTCAACTCCAGCTGGTTCAGTGACTATACAAATATACCTTATGCCGAAAAATTAAAAATAAAAACGTCTGACATTAAGCAAGTGTGTTTGTATGCTTTCTTCAATCCAGATTTCTGAATAATTTGCTCCCACATAGAAACAATTTTGTTTCCTTCCAAGAGAATTATACACATCCTTTCTAAATGAAAGAACAAATTACTGAGGTCCATGTAACTTCAGTACCATCAGTTCTTTGGCAGCTCCCTAGTGTACAGCTTTCTAATCTTCACCTGGTCCCCAGGATATGATTTATTTGTCAGAGTAGTTTTATGAGGTGCTTTCTCCTGACTCTGATTCTGGGTAACACCCTGATGGGACGAGCAGATACTATACCTTACTTCCTTTTCCTGGGCATGAGGGAAAGAGAGAGAAGTCAGGGTAGAGATGGAACTATAGCTACCTTTTTCTCCTGTGCAAAGAGTCCAGTATTTCTAGTTAACCTTGATGGGAACATAGGATATAGATTGTTAGGGGAACTTGAAGATTATTCCAAGTAGGCTAAACTGCGGTAGGCTGAATAATAATGCCCCAAAGATATCTATGTCTTAATCCCTGGAACTTGTGAGTGTTCCCTTATATAGCAAAAGAGACTTTGCAGATGTGATTAAGTTAAGGATCTTGAGATGGGGAGATGTCCTGGATTCTTTGGGTGTGCCCTAAATGTAATCATAAGTATTCGTAAGGGAGGGAGGTAGAGGAAGATTTGATTATAAAAGAGGAAAAGGTGATGTGATGATGGAAGCAGAGATGAGTGATGCACTTTGAAGATGGTGAAAGGGACCATAAGTCAAGAAATGTAGGCAACTTCTAGAAGCTGGAAATGCAGGGAAATGGATTCTCCCCTTGAGTCTTCAAAAGGAACCAGCCAACACCTTGACTTTAAGCCCAGTGAAACTGATTTCAGACTTCTGACCTCCAGAACTGTAAGAAAATACATTTGGTCATTTTAAGCCACTAAATTTGTGGTAATTTGTTACAACAGAAACAGGAAATGAATACAATAATTATGTAGACCAGGGGGTCCCATCTCTGGCTAATTAGAATCACCCCCAAAGCTTGTTAAAAACAGACCCATACCTAGTGAATCAAAATATTTGGTGCTGGGGCCCGAAGTCTGCATGTTAAACAGCTCTCTTTTTCAGAAATGAAGAAATCAAGACTTGTAGAAGTGGACTTGTAGAAGACTTAAGAACATTGGGTGGTTCATTTAAAATTTAATTTTACTATTTTATCTTTTGAACTTTCTTCCCCCAGTTGTGCTGCTTTTATGTTAATGTGATTTCATTTGAGGCTTTGTGTTGACATATCCATTAAAAGGAAGAAATAAAAGCAGAGAAATATTTTTTTTAACTTATAGTGTGTATTGATTAGAGTGATGCAATCTGGCTTTCTGTGTTTGGATTTGTGATCTGTAGAGCTAACCTTTCCTTGCAGAGATTAGACAGCAGGCGGGGGAAAATGCCTTTGAAATTGAGAACAAAGAGCAGCATGCAATTTACGTTGGTGTGCTGGTGCTGTGCATAATAAGTTGCTCAAAAATTTCAGCAGGATAGGATTTTAGATATAATTTATTTATAAATGGTAAGGATGTTTCCACCCCTGCTGAACTTCCCCATAGCCTTTTCATCAGGAAATGAAGTTTTTATGCACTCCCCCTCTTCTAAGACTTCAACTACCACCATTGATATGATGACCTCCCATATCTATTCTCCTAGCTCTACCCCCTCCCCTGAGATCCAGATCCATACATCTGACCACAACCTGGGTATCTCATCTTGGCTGTCCCTGCAGCAACCCAAATTTAACTCTTGGATCCCAGAACGTGCAGGGCTTTCTGTGTGTGCTGTGCCTTTGCACTTGTTTCCTCTAGCCCCTTTTCAGTTAAGTCAATTTCTACGTCTCTCCTAAGACTCAGCTTAGGAACTGCCTCCTTCAAGGAGTTTCTCTGGGCTCCACCTAGTCCAGATTCAGTTCCTTTCCTATGTTAATTCGTGGCATCATGTATTAACATATAATATTTGCCGAATGAAAGAATGAGAATTCTTTCTCAGTCTTTCTAACTCTTGATCAGGCATAAAGAAGCAAACTCTTTTACTTCGGTGTTGAGTGGTTTTAGGACCCCTGTTAATTAGGGAGATGTTTGATTTTCAAACTCAGCATCAGTTGAAGGGCATTCAGAAAGTGCTCAAACCCTGGAAAGAAGCCTGGAGTCTGGCACACTTGGCTTGAGTCAAGATTCTGGGCAGTTCTACTCAGGTCCACATGCATGTGTTGGGCACTGATGCCAGCCTGGGGTGGACACTAGGCATAGTTTTAGACATTGGCCTTGAGACACTCAGTCTAGCAGATGCTACTAAAGCTCCTTTTGGAGCCTGGGCATGGATTCAGACAAACCCAATTTCTAATCCAGTCTCTATCACCTATCAGCAGTGACCTTGGGCAAGTCACTTAATCTCTCTAAACTTTATTTTCCTTAATGGTAAAGTGGCTACCTCCAGATTTACTTTGAAGATTATGAGTTAATTCATTAGTACCACATAACCCACACATATTTTTCAATTGAAGATTAAATAATAAAAAGGAATTATTTCCTAGAGGAAGTGCTAGTGTTTCTACTGGCCAAGCGCTGATTATGAGCCTCAAAATAACTGAATAGATTAAACATGCCTAATTGGTTGGCTGGAGGCTGTCCAGGAAGCTGCAGCATCAGGAAGGTGTGGGAGAGTAGGGGCTGGCAAACAGACACAGTGAGAAACATGTCTGTCCATGGTGGAGGAGAGCCCTTATGACGTCTACAGATTCCCAAGACAATATATGAAAAAAGCTAGGCAAGAGATGGACAGTTAGGCCGTCATCTCTTTTCTTTATCATCCCCCAGCCCCAGCCATGCTTACGGACACCACGGCGAAGCCTCTGAACACAACAGCTTGGACGAGGGCCTCTCTAAGTTCTTTCTGACTCTGAAGCTCTGGAATTCTCAGACACTTCCATGAGTTGTGGCTGAAGAAGCCACAGCGAAGTGGCCAGATAGTTTCTTACCTTCAACTCTGCCATTTTCCTTCTGCTGCAGGTGTGGCGATTTCAGGAAACCCAGGCTCAGAGAGGGTATGAAGTCAAAATGCTTCTGTTTCTCCTTCAAATCACCTCTGGATGTTGTTATTCTACTGCTTCACTGTGCTCGCTGGTCAGCTGGTCGCTCAAACTAGCCACAAGCGTTTCCTAACTGCTACACTAGGGAGAAAGTCCAGCATGCTTGTTTCCAAACTGCTTACACAACTGTCTTTGGTTTTGAAACCCGGGCTGTTTCTGAAGAGTTTGCAGAGGCCTGTCTCCTCTTCACCCGAGGTAAATGTTGACCAATGATTTGTTCCAGTTAAAAGAAAGAGGCTTATGACTAAAGGCAGAGAATTTAAAGCTCTCTGCGGAAGGAACTGTGTCAGTTAGGGCCTGCTGTGTGAGGTAGAGGCTTCTCCACTCAGTCCCGACTGAGGCTGGGAAGGAACAGGGTGGAGTGTTCACTCTCTGGAGAGCAGTGAGAAAATGATCCGTGCTGTGACACAGGCGTTTTCACGCAGCTACCTGAAGCAGGGACAGGGTCTGGACAGCTCTCCATACCTGCTCCCAGGGATGAGCTGGGTGAACAGTTCAGAGCCTGAAGCACTTCGCTTAAAGCAAACTGAGATATTTACTATTGCTCCTCTTAATTTCTTAAATGTATTTAGTGTTCTTATAAATTCTTTAAGAATCTTATTTCCTAATGCCTGTACCTCTCTAGAAAGAGACCAAGGGATTACTTTCCAGCCACATTTTCCATGACTCCCTTGTCCTTCATCTTGGCTACTCTCCTTAGCCATGGTCAGGTATCAACTTCATGGCTAATGGCATTCAGGAAGGAAGAAACCATATATCGAGAGCTTGTTCATGCCAGATTTTCCCACAGACATTACCTCATTTAATTTCACAATCTTTTAAACTAGGCTTTATTATCATAAACTCAGGTGCAGCAGAACAGGCAGGAAGTGTAAATGGGTAAAGTAGGCTAGGTGATTTTTTAAGATATGACTTTTATACACGAAGCTCCAATTTTTAAACATTGGCAACTTAAACAAGTGAATGGATGAATGAATGAATGAATAAAGCCATTGTAATAGATTGCAAATAATGCCCACAGATTCCTTTCATCCTTGTATGTATGCCCCTTTGCAATGTGACTTTGCTGCTCCTCCCAAAATGAGACGGAGTCTTTTACTTACCTCCTTGAATCTTACTTTGGCTAATAGCAAACACAACACAAGCACAGGTTTGAAAAATGCTGTGCCTTACGATTTGCCCATTTCTTGCTACTTGAGACCACCATTCAGAGAAGTCAGGCTAGCCTCCTTGAGAATGAGACCAAGAGGTCCAGGCACTCAACAGCCCAGCACTAGCTGCCAGATGTGTGAATGAGGCAATGTGGCTGCCAGATGACTGCAGACACGTACGTGATCCCAGGTGAGATCAGCAGGAGAACCACCAGCTAAACCTAGCCCAAACTGCTGACCCACAAAATTGTGAGCAAATAGAATGACATATTTTATGCCATTAAATATTGGGGTGTTTTGTTAAGCGGTGATAGATAACTGATACAATTATGTCAAGAAACATGCATGTAGGTGTGAATGACTATGGGCTGCCAGTTTGACACATTCTGCTTTAGATAAAGGGGTCTAAGCAACCTCCAGAGGTCCCCAGGCTCCAGCGTACTGCAGTAGCAGCAGAATGATTTGCCTGTGTCTGAGGTGTTAGCACAGAAAGGACCAGGCCAAAGGAGCCATGTTGATATAAACAAGTGACAGGCTGGTAGCAAACTGTGGGGATTGATGCCTGCAGACCAGGGAGTTTATAGCACATCTCAGCATATGTCAGCATAGACAACTGACATTGTGGTATTATATAAGCTTCCCTGGAATTTATATGCAAACCTGGGAGAAAGGGGGGTGTAAACCCTAGCTTTACTGAGGCTAAGTTTTTATTATTCCTGCAGTATGCAGACTCAAAATCAAAAGTGAATTCAAGAAAAATATTTCTTGCATATCTGAGTTTATGAGTACATTGGGTCTTGAATCTCTATTGATCATAGAAGTTAGGCTTTGGTGATTAGGGGGAAAAATGGATGGGAACCAATAAACGACAAAGGAAAAGCTTTACTGCTTTGTTTTTCCATAAACTTTATATGTTCTTTCCAAATCAGCTTTGAAGGTAGATTTAAGAGGTGTTTCAGTTCCTTCGTAAGGTGTGAGAGATTTCTGAAAGAGTAAGAAAGTGGTAACAGATCCTTGACTGGATGAAAATTATTTTGAGAGGCCTGAAAATATTTAAAATTGAATAAACCTATCAATTCCCTATTTAGAGATTTCTCCCAAGTGGGTTCACTTCATTTCTTGTCTTTTTCTGTTTTTGTAACAATAATTCAAGAAAACGAGTATTTGCTTTGTAACCACTATGTGCCAGGTACTGTGCCATACACACACAGGAGAAATGAGAATAAATAAAATATAGAACACATAGCTCTGAGTCTATGTCTGTAGACTTTCTATTTTAATCTAATCACACACTTATTTATTTATCTTACAATTATTGGGGACCTGCTATGTGCCAGGCCCTGTGAGGTGTGGGGGGATACAGAAATGACTGAGAGTCTGGTCCTGTAGGAGGGCGCATGCTGGAGAAGATTGACCAATAAACAGGCCATTATAACGGAGTGCCATGTGTGCTGTGACAGAAAGAGTCAGGGTGCTATGGGAGGGACTAGGGACCACAGAGCTCTGACTAGCTCCCTGAGGAGATGATAGCTGAGCCAAGTCACACAGAGTAAGAGTTGGATAGGGCACTGAGGAGAGGGAGGATTGTACACAAAGACAGAGAAGTGCAGTGCATTCAAAGACCTGTTTTTAGGGCACTGACGGAAACAGAGTGGAGGAGTCTAGTGAGGGAAGGCTTCCAGAAAGGGGAGTTTTGGCAGACATTTAAAGCAGGGGAAAGAGGGGAACTTCTAGGCAGGGTGATTAGCATTCAAAAAGACACCTAGGGCTTCCCTGGTGGCACAGTGGTTGAGAGGCCGCCTGCCAATGCAGGGGACACGGGTTTGTGCCCGGTCCGGGAAGATCCCACATGCTGCAGAGCGGCTAGGCCCGTGAGCCATGGCCGCTGAGCCTGCACGTCCGGAGCCTGTGCTCCGCAACGGGAGAGGCCACAACAGCGAGAGGCCCACATACCGCAAAAAAAAAAAAAAATAAAAAGACACCCAGTGGAAGCAGGTTATGTGCAGGGACAAGGCAAACATATACTGGACCAGAGCAGCGTCACAGTATCAAAGTGGTGAGCAATAAGAACAAAGATGCCAAAAGCCAGGCAGAGCGAGAGGGATTCAGTGAATGATATGGGGAACAGGTGAAGAGAAGAACTTGAAAAGGACCAGAAATTGGAGACACCAGATACCTGCCACCTCTGGATTCTAGCACAAGATAGGTTTACTCTCTGCAGAAGCTCTGGACTCACAAACATCAGGGAGTGGGGAGTAGGACCAAAACCAAGTGTAGTGATGATGAAATCTCCAGCTTCCTTCTCCAATTGCATTTCCAGAATGCTATCAGCAAGTGTTTTACCCTCCAGACAGGACACTGGAGGATTCTTCTCTAGGACAGTGTCCCATAAATACTATACATTTTGATCAATAATTATTAAATATAAAAGGCAAAGTCTTTCTGGAAGTGCTTCTTTTAATGAGGTAGATGGCTCCCTCCCACATTAATTCAAATATCCATGAATAATTCTTATTTCTAGAATGACACAGGATTCAGCATCATTTAATCCTATTTTTTGCTTTTTTAGACATAAATGTTGAGAAAATTTGTTCACATAAATAAGCAGTTATGAATGGAAGGGATTTTGTTATGGTAGCACTCAAATTCCTTCTGAATTAAATACCAAAAATCACATACTGACCTATCATTAAACATTATTTTAATGACCTATCAGTCAATAACTCAGGTTGGTTCTTCTTCAATTTTGTTGCAAGCAAATAATTGGAAACCTGATTGGAAAAGGCTTTGTTACCCAGCTATTGGAATCAGTGACTTTAACTGTTACCCTTTCACTTGGCGGTGCTTTGTCTAACTCATTTACTCAGAAAGGGTTAGGAAAATAAAAATGTTAATTTTATATACCTTTGCCTGTATAATTATTTTTGATGTAAATGTTATTTTGATATTTTGATAGACCAGGCAAGAAGACTTGACATGAAAGAATGTGCCACAGCCTTGGATGTTTCCTACCAAAGCTCTTTGCTTTGTTCTCAGGAGCTCTTCCTTAAGAGCTCTGCATTTTTCTTTTTTTTTTTGTAATTGTGAGGAGTGGAACAGACAAAATCCTTAAATAAAACTAATATTCAGAATTGTCCCTTTGTTGGCATCCAGAAGACATTTACACCCCTGGGCAATATGCCGTATTTCTATTGCACTAGTAGTGACATGCTCTTTTTCTGTAGTGGGAAAAGGGCAATTGGGAAAGTAGAGGTGGTAAATAAGAGCCAGCGCGAGCTGCTTCACAAGCAGATCAATCTTAACAAAGATACATTCATATGAGAATTCGTGATCTGAAAAATGATTCCCTTAAAACTATCCGTGCCCATGTACCTCTTGGAAGAGATTCTTCCACACATCCCAGTTGGAAGACCACTGATCCACACCAAGAAAATGGAAAATATTACATCTAGGAAACTGGGGATTATTACAGAGTAATGTGAAGGGCAAGTGGCAGGCCTAGAGAGCAATCACTCCAGAGTGCAGTTAGAGGACGGAGGACTTCAGGACCGATGTCTCCAAGAAAAAAATGAAACTGATAGATTACCTGATATATTTGATGGTACTGAACAAGATTTTACATCTTTGTTGAAGTTTAGGGGTTTCATTCTTCACCTTTACTTATTGATGATCTTGGTAAAGCTTAGTGGTTGGCCAGCTGAGAAAACAAATGTGGTATAAGAGAGGGGCTATGTATAAGATGGCAAGGCATTTCATTAGAAATAGATATACCCAGAGGATAGAAAGTGCTAGTATTAAAAATGGGTAGCAGTACATCGAAGACAAATATTTCCTGTTTTGCCAATAGAGGATGTGACAATCATGCTACGATTGCTGTGGCATGTGTAGCCTTGGGAGGGAGGAGTGGCTTACTTAGTTCATTAAGGGGCGATCATGAACTCTGATGAACTCTGCTATAACGGTGCCATAAGGTAGAGTCTACAATCCATGTGTTCCCTACGTTTTTGATATGGGTTTATTTTTTTCAAAGGGTGGATCCTGAGCTACCTGCATCAAAATCACCTGGTTTGCCTGTTAAAAATACAAAATCCTGGCTCTATCCCATATACATAGAATTGGGCGAGGGGGGGCAGAAGAAATCCTGGAATCTGCATTTTAAACAAGCACTTCAGAGGACTTCCATACACTTTTGAGTTTGAAAGCCATTGCTTTGAGTCCTTAAATGTAGGTGCTTATTAATTGTTACTCAAAGTTGGATCCTTTTCCTACTCTATGGAGCAGCGCTGGCAGGCTCCAACTCCAATTCTGCATTAGGCAAACATACTGGGGAATATGTGAGGCTCAGGGTTCTCCCAGTGCTAGATCTCCCGAAACCCTTCCTCTTCTACCACAGTAATTTAACTCAGTTTTGGGACTATGCAGAAATGAATTTTTTAACTTCCTACTCCTCCTTCCCCCAGAGTATCCTCCTTTGAATTTTAACAGATGTTAAATCAATGCAGACATCCTGTTAGACTTCAAACTTCTTAAAATAGATGCTACCTGTGCTTTAAAAATTTCAATTAAACCAACATTTAGATACCCATATAAGGCCCTACCTAGGTTGGGTGCTAAAGCATACCCTGTTGAAATGAAGACTCAGAAGCTCTGATTATGGCAGTGGTTAGGAGCTCTTCACCTCAGTCCGATGGCCCAGCACATCAGTTCTATGCAGTCCACTTCCAGAATGGAGAAAAACAGCAGTGTCACGGCACCTGGATTATATCATAGATGTCCCAAGTTCAGGGACTTTTGAGAACCTGAGTAAAGCTGATATGGATCAACCCCTTTGGGAGTGGCTCTCTCTCTAGAGCACTAAGGTAGAGAGACCAACCCAAATCCTTAGTTGGATTCCAACTAAGCCGCCTGGGGGACAGATGAGTGGCTACAGATCTTCGTATCTGGTTGCCTCCACAGTGAGTAAGAACGTTGGTTAGACGTCTGAATCACAACAGGGGAAAAAAAAAAGTTCTCTTATAGGTAGCAATTTGTTCCATCAAGAAAGTAAGAAAATTAAAGCTTTAATTAACACTTTTTAGGAAGTATTTAAACTTATTATTACCTAAAAGCAATTTTTATGAGCAGGTTTCAGGAAGTCTTAGCAAAACTTATGCTTCAAAAGATTCTTTTTGAAGAACTCTGGCTAATAACATTCACTTTGGCCAACAACCTTATTTTGCTGCTACTAACGCTGCAACAAACTTACCTTAGATGATTAAACTCATTTTTTCTTAGAAAACTGTAATTCAGGAGTCAAGCCTGACAGCAAGAACAAATGAAGTTGAGTATTGTTAATTTTTCAAGATTGACCCTGAAGCCATCAGTGATAGGTTATTTTCATCTTATTTTTTAATAAGGGAGAAAATAGAGAAATTGGAATAGATCTCCTTTCTAATTAAGGGTTATTGATTTATTTTTTAAAAGAGGAATACAAAGAGCTTCAGTTGGTTTAGGTCTTCTGCATATGCATTTGGTTTCTACTTCTTAACTGCACAGCCACTGTCACAAAATACTTGTGCCAAATTCCACATACAGATCCTGATTTGCATAGCTCTCCTTTATGTCAAAAAAGAAATCAGGGCTAACTCTTGTGGGGGAGGATGTGAAGAAAGACTGGAGAAAATTCTAGCTGATGAAAAGTGCTTTAAAATCCCTTGCCAAATTCCTAAGACAGACTTTCTAAAAGCACTCTCTAACATCATCATTTTAATATCCTCTTTCAGCACACCTTGATTTCCAAAGTATGGAATAGAAAGAGATTTTAGTGGTTTTTTCCCCTAGTTTTAAAATGAGAAGCTGAAACTGTGTACTTATTATTATTATACTTTAATATGGAGCAAAATCAGGAGTGCAGAGACCTCCTAGAGAGAAGAATACATGTGAAAAGGAGTTGTTGAATAAGGCAGCAAATTACAGTTTTCGTAAAACAGGTTTATATGTTAACAAAGACTGGGGCAAAGGCAATTACACGAGCAAAAAAGATGGGTAAAAAAAAGTAGTGATGAACAATTATGCATATACACCCCCCCCCAATTTTGGATTATGAAATCCAAGAATCCTAGTCCATAATTCATGTAAATGTGTTGCTGTGGAAGTTATTTTTACTTCTCTCCATAAATACATTGTTGACACAAAGAATAATATTCTTAGTTTATGGATTATAGTTAAGGGACATTTTAGGAGTTGATCTTTCCTTCAAAAATAAAAATAAAAACTGAAGAGGCTGTAAATCTCTCTTACTGCCCTTGTGCAGGTCTTAGATTTCACCCTACCTATTTCCAAACAGAAAACAGTAAGAGGGTGCAGACAGCTGTAACCTAAAGAGTGAAGGATTTAGTGAGCTGTCAATTTCTCGCATAATTTTTCTTTTCTGGTACTGCTGTTCTCTATGTATTATTAATCTATTTATATTTAACTCCAGCTATTAGTCCGCCTCTTCCAGCCACTGAGCCATTTGCAAAGGAGAGGAGAGAGAGACAACGGTTGCTATTATTAGGCATCCTTTTGTGTGATGAAGGTGGAGGCAGTTAAATAACACCATTTTGCTTCTTTGAAAATGACAGAGAGTGTTTGGGGTGGACAACTCAGGGCCGGCTAACATAACCTTTCCCCTCAGAAGGTAAAACAATAGAGATACATTTTTGAAGGAGATACAGTTTTGAAGTACTTAATTAAGCCTTCAGCAAGGAGTGTGGGAAAATTACAGACCCATAAAAACCCTCCAGTTCTGGGCAAGAGTAAATTTTCTCTGCAGCATTCTGTCGCTGCTCATTTACTGCATCATTTTGACATCTCGTATTTCCACAAGGCTTTTATATAATCTATAAACAGGGACAGAAAGGTGAGGAACAGAGAGAATGGGGACAAAGTTTGGACTTCCCATGCTGTTACTTCCTTTCAGTTTTCCATTAAAGGGTGAGGCTGAAGGGTGGCATTTTAAGATGATTTCGTTAAAAGCCTGAGACATTAATAACTGACACAGCAAGAAGAAAGCTGTGAAAAACTGCCACTGCTTGCTTACTCTTCAAAGGATGAGTGTAATTCAGTCATAATGTAAGCTCTTTAATGTTCCTCCCCCAAACCTTTTTCGATCAGGAAAGCCTGGAATCTGTAGGCAAGAAAGATAATTATATTAGGACTCAAGCAGGCAGAGTTCAAATGCTAATAGCCTTTAAAATGTTCTCCTTATTTTCTGTTTCTGTATGTTGGGCTGTTGTTCTTTAAAGAACTATCTTTCTGCGGTTTTACTCCGAAAACCACAGCAGATTAAATAATAAAAATAAATTCTACCAAAATGAAAAACATTTGCCAAGCAATTGGTGATAGTGCCATCTAAATCAGACAGGATGGCGGTGAATCTCATAATATTCACCTATTGGACTTTTATATGAATTATTTGCATTGTGATAGACTCTGGATATATGCCTTTGGAGTCTCAAGCAATTCTATTATTTTATAATGTAACCTTATCTCTGGATTCTTTTTGTTTCTTAGACTCTTATTTTCCCTTGATCTGATTTTTTCTTTTGTATTTAACAGGACAGAAGAAAGTCAGTTGCTTGGGCCTACAAAGGACTCCCCCTGACCCCAAGTTTTAAAAAAAATTTCAAAAGCAAATTTGGAAATAAATTTCAAATAAGTCAAACCTCTCTCCAATTTCAAGAAATCATTTTATCAAGAAAAGATAGATACAGACCTGATTACCATCTCTTAAAAAGTATCTCTTCTCTATGACCTGTGAAAAACAAATAAAGATTTTAAGGGCTTAGCACATATACCTTGAAAAGGTAGTAACTGCAATGGCCACTAATGGCACTAAAAGGTATATACCCAAATTAAGAGTCTTTTCAACAGCACAGACATCTAATACAATGAGTTAAATCTGGTGCTAATGAGATCAGGATTGTGGAAGTATTTTTATAAAAGCCTGCCTCTTGTTCCAAAAAGCATTAATGATAGGTAAAAAAATACATGAACAACAAAAAAGACTAAATAACCAGAGAGTGACATGACATCCCAAGCAACTCCTAGTGTATGGCTGCAAATTTGGCTCAAAGTTCCCTAGCAGTCGGCCCCAAAAGGTACCAAACAGAATCCATAAGATAAAAGCAAAGCACTTTTGCTACTACAATAGCATACCTATTCCTTAAAGAGGAGTCTGTCTATATAATGTACTAAATTGCCACATCCCTCTAGTAAACACAGTTGTAAATTCTGTCAGTCCTTAATGGAGACAGATGACAACATCAAAAGCAGTCAATTAACTTCTTTTCCGACTTAATCTGCACCCTTAATTCAGTAGTTTCGGAATTGTCTGTATTTGGTCAGTAGGAGAAATAAGGTAAAGCAGTGGATGTATCTGTACAAATCCATCATTACTACTGAAAAGAAGCCTTCAAAATATATGCCCTAACATAATGAGTTTAAGAGCACCATATTTTCACAGGATGAGAAACATTTTTTTGAATTTTATTTTATTTATTTTTTATACAGCAGGTTCTTATTAGCTATCTATTTTATATATATTAGTGTATACATGTCAATCAAAATCTCCCAATTCATCCCTACCCACCCTCCCCCCACCCCCCGCCACTTTCCCCCCTTGGTGTCCATACATTTGTTCTCTACATTCACATGATGAAAAACATTAAAAAAAAAAAAGAACTCTGTTTAACACTTGAGAAACTGCAATGGTGACAGAGGCAGTATTATTTTCTTTACACAGAGCTTTACATGTGATTAAGAAAAGTTCAGCAGATTAGAATACAGATTATCTGGAGATTAACTCTAAGACATTAGAATCTAGAATTATGAGGCTAGGAACTTCCTCAGAATAAAGCAGAGCATCTTCTTCCAGGCCTACAGCAGCTTGCTCTCATTGGCCTGACAGCCATATCATCTGGATTCATTTTATCTTCGAGACTATGGATGGGTTACTTTTAGCCACAAGAGACTCAGGGTAAGGTTGCACTCACTGGCCTCAAAGGTAGAAAAGCTGGTTCATGATTAGTACCCATCTAAAACACCTGACACCACAAAAACTATGACAGGACTGATTTTCCTTCCTCTCTCCAGGGTAGGACAGGAAAATTCTATTACTCTGGAGTGGTTAGGAATTACTATTAGCGAAGGGAGTGTGGAAGAGGATTAGATTCCCTCTTGGAAAAGAAATCTTTAATTAATTAATTAATTTAATTTTTGAGTCTTTGTTGCTGCACGTGGGCTTTCTCTAGTTGCAGCGAGCGGGGTCTACTCTTCGTTGCACTGCATGGACTTCTCATTGCAGTGGCTTCTCTTGTTGCTGAGCATGGGCTCTAGGCACATGGGCTTCAGTAGTTGCAGCACATGGGCTCAGTAGTTGTGGCTCATGGGCTTAGTTGTTCTGCAGCCTGTGGGATCTTCCCAGACCAGGGCTCAAACTCGTGTCGCCTACATTGGCACGTGGATTCTTAACCACTGCGCCACCAGCGAAGTCCCTTGGAAAAGAAATCTTTACACTAAATTCTGGAAGATATGATGTAAAGTCATATCTTAGCTGCCAAGTCCCTTGCTTTCAGGCAACCACCTCAGTCTGGAGGTCTGGCCCACCTCTTTTTTTTTTTTTTTTTTTTTAAATTAATTGATTATTTATTTTTTGGCCGCATTGGGCCTTCGTTGCTGCACGCAGGCTTTCTCTAGTTGCGGCAAGCGGGGGTTACTCTTTGTTGCAGTGCACGGTCTTCTCATTGCGGTGGCTTCTCTTGCTGCGGAGCACAGGCTCTAGGCGTGCTGGCTACAATAGCTGTGGCGTGTGGGCTCAGGAGCTGTGGCTCATGGGCAGTAGAGTGCAGGCTCAGTAGTTGTGGTGCACGGGCTTAGTTGCTCCGTGGCATGTGGGATCCTCCAGGAACAGGGAACCCATGTCCCCTGCCTTGGCAGGTGGATTCTTAACCACTGCGCCACCAGGGAAGTCCTGGCCAACCTCTTAATCCACCTGACTTTGTTTGTGATTTAGGAAACCAAGAGAGAAGCTGCTTTTCAATTTTGCTCATAATTCCCTGCCCTCAACTTGCGATGTTCTTCTCTTATCAAACCATTTTTTTAAAAATTTATTTATTTATTTATTTGGCTGCGCCAGCTCTTAGTTGCCGGCACGCGGGATCTTCGCTGTGGCATGTGGGATCTAGTTCCCTGACCAGGGATCGAACCTGGGCCCCCTGCATTGGGAGTGTGGAGTCTTAACCACTGGACCACCAGGGAAGTCTCCTCTTATCAAAACTTGCTCTCTTCTTAAAACCAACCAAGTTCCCTCTAATATATTTTTTTTTAAAGTAGTCTTGCCTGACGACTTGGGTCACACTGATCTATAACCCATTGTTTCTCTAGGATATAACTTATTACATTTTATTTTATTTATTTATTTATTTATTTATTGCAGTACGCGGGCCTCTCACTGTTGTGGCCTCTCCCGTTGCGGAGTACAGGCTCCGGATGCGCAGGCTCAGCGGTCATGGCTCATGGGCCTAGCCACTTTGCGGCATGTGGGATCTTCCCAGACTGGAGCACGAACCCGTGTCCCCTGCATCGGCAGGCGGACTCTCAACCACTGCGCCACCAGGGAAGCCCACATTTTACTTTTTTAATTTTAAAAATTAATAAATTATTTAAAATTTAAACAATATATTGTGGGATCTTTCCATGTCAGACACAGATCTATATGATGCTGCTCCTAGGGGACACAGATAGTGGCCACGGATCTAAACAAATGGAAGTTCTTACGTTTTAAGTTTGAAAACAATGTGGAGAGAAAATTTGGTGCCTTGCAGTGCTTCCAACCATTTTTTCATGTCATGACACATTTAAAAAATGCTAATATTTATACATTAGCAAACGTACAAATGGAGTAAATGGAAGAGCCAGGCCAGGGGCTCTGGCTGCTCTGAGAACTGAGGGGATCACTATCTCAGTGCACCTGTACCCTTTTGGTCACACACCAGTTGGGAAGTTCTGCAATAAAGCAAAAATTTCCCAGTGGCCTAATATTAAACAGGGACAGAGTGTGGGGATCATCTTATGCTGACCTATTGGACAATAAAGCCAAATATTAGATTTCTAAATAGTTAAAAGAAAAATGATTCATAAAGAAGAACTATGAGGAGGGAAATTTTTTCTTGGGAGACTACTTGTAAAAGGAAATATAAGACAGAAATTAATCTTTTTTCAACAATAATACAGAAATACATCCTATTTTACTTTACTACACAATGTCAACATTGGGTAACCAATTTAACTTGGTCAATATTGTATGCAATGCAGCTGTATGGCCTTGTGAAGGAAAGACAAACAGTGCTCTAATTTACCAGTATGTTGAAAATGCTGCATTTTCATTCCAGTTCTGGACAATAAGATGATGTTGGTAAGAGTGAATAATTGGAATGCAAAGGTTTCTGATAGGGAAAATTAGGGAATCAAGAAGATGACCTAGCCTTAAAAGTAACAGTAACATTTATATGGAGAATATTAGTAGCTGGGAGAGCAAAAAAAACTCAGGGCTTTAAGCAGAATGTCCTCAGTTTAGTGCCTTTTGTGGGGACTTGGGGGTGGTGAATAAGCACAAAAATGCTAGAAAATATGGAAACATAAATTGTTTTAAGGAGGGAATTAGGTATCTTAAAAAACCCCATTTGAATCCAGTAGCTTTCATCCTTTGCTTAGAGAACACTGGTGATAGAATAAACACGTCAGCAGGCCTTGAGCAATTACACCAACAGATAAGAGATCAAAACAAATAGTATTCAGGCTGTGAAGTTTAGCATGAAGGAATAAAAGGATAAAGCATTCTACAAAGAATTTAAACTCTCATAATACATAAATTAAGTTTAAAAATAACTTAATTGAAGCCATTACCTTATCAAAAAACCTACTGAGCTTGACAGCATTGGAAGAACCTGCAGCTAAGTACCGTGGATTTGTGCAATCCTAGAAGATAAAACATAAGATCCACAATTAAACGTTAGGAAACATAAGCTCTTTGTGAGTCATTACTGTTCCTCTTGCACATTTCTATAGTAAAATATTAGGCATAATACTCTCATAAAATATTCAAGTAATTTTCAAATTATGCACACAGCAAAGAGGAAAGTGCTAAAGGAAGGTGAGGCCACTTACTCTTTGTTATTTAGGCAATTTTAGAGGACACTGAACCACTGTATTCATCATCAAATAATTCATAAAGACAGGATTGTTAATGTCTTACTAACAACAAAACCAACATACTAATTACGTGACCTGCCTACATTTACCTTCAAAAGCAGAAACAGAGCTATTAAAAACAAACTTTTTTTTTTAAACATCTTTATTGGAGTATAATTGCTTTACAATGGTGTGTTAGTTTCTGCTATATAACAAAGTGAATCAGCTATATGTATACACATATCCCCATATCCCCTCCCTCATGCACCTCCCTCCCACCCTCCCTGTCCCACCCCTCTAGGTGGTCACAAAGCACCTAGCTGATCTCCCTGTGCTATGCAGCTGCTTCCCACTAGCCATCTATTTTACATTTGGTAGTGTATACATGTCAATGCTACTACTCTCTCACTTCGTCCCAGCTTACCCTTCCCCCTCCCCATGTCCTCAAGTCCATTCTCTACATCTGCTTCTTTATTCCTGTCCTGCCCCTAGGTTCATCAGAACTATTTTTAATTTTTTTTTAGATTCCATATATATGTGTTAGCATACGGTATTTATTTTTCTCTTTCTGACTTACTTCACTCTGTATGACAGACTCTAGGTCCATCCACCTCACTACAAATAACTCAATTTCGTTTCTTTTTATGGCTAAGTAATATTCCATTGTATATATGTGCCATATCTTCTTTATCCATTCGTCTGTCAATGGACACCTAGGTTGCTTCCATGTCCTGGCTATTTTAAATAGTCCCGCAATGAACATTGTAGTACATGTCTGTTTCTGAATTATGGTTTTCTCAGGGTATATGCCCAGTAGTGGGATTGCTGGGTCACATGGTAGTTCTGTTTTTAGTTTTTTAAGGAACCTCCATGCTGTTCTCCATAGTGGTTGTATCAATTTACATTCCCACCAACAGTGCAAGAGGGTTCCCTTTTCTCCACACCCTCTCCAGCATTTATTGTTTCTAGATTTTCTGATGATGGCCAGTCTCACCGTTGTGAGGTGATACCTCATTGTGGTCTTGATTTGCATTTCTCTAATGATTAGTGATGTTGAGCATCCTTTCACGTATTTGTTGGCAATCTGTATATCTTCTTTGGAGAAATGTCTATTTAGGTCTTCTGCCCATTTTTGGATTGGGTTGTTTGTTTTTCTGATATTGAGCTGCATGAGCTGCTTGTATATTTTGGAGATTAATCCTTTGTCAGTTGCTTCGTTTGCAAATATTTTCTCCCATTCTGAGGACAACACTTCATTTTTTAGTACTAGTTACTCACCAGTGCTCAACTAACTTAAGTACTATGAAGTTCTTAGGAATAGTAGGAAGCATGAAAATAAAGAGCAGGAGGAGCAAAAAACAAACAGAACGGTGGCCAGGGATTTCTCACTCACTGAATGCAAGGCACTACATCTCTTGGTAGGCCATAAAGATAATAATAAACAATAGATATATTTTTTGGTTAAAATAAACAATAGAAAAGTTTATTTTAAAATATCATTAAATATTATTTTTAATAATAAATAATAAACAACAGATATTTACTATTAGGACACAAATAGGAAAAAATGGGGCTCTGAAGAGACAAAAGAATCTGAAACATTATAATGAAGTGACTAGTACATTGCAATGATTAGTAAAGACCTTAAAACATTTACTATCCCTTTCCTGGAATTCCAATGTTGAATTGCCTTAGCTTGTCATCATTGACTTGCCAACTCAAGAGACCGAGTACTTTGATTTGTACCTCAAATGCCACCTAAGCCCCAACCATGGGGATATCATATAGGCTCCTTTGCAAGGATAGTATCTATTTTTTCAGTTATAGATCATCTGTGTCCCTTGGGAAATCACTGAAGTTATTATTGTTGCATTTATTCTGATTGTAATCTCTAAGCCCACATGATTCCATTCCAGTGCATTTTGTAACAATCCCTATTTTACCAATATACAACATTCAAGGCTCACATTTTAAATTCTGACCAGAAGCTATACATTTTCCAAAACCACAAGAGAGAGACTACAACTTTTCAAAGATCATAGAGTAAAAGAAAAATCAGAGGTCTTTGAAGCCAGCAGGCTCTGAATCTGAGTATCTATCCCAACATCTCTAGATTGTGTGACATCGGTTAGGCTACTAAACCTTTAAAGTTGAGCTTATTCATTTGTGAAATGGAGATAGCGATACTTAACCCATAGGATTTTTGTGAAAATTAAATGAGATAATGCATGTCTGACACATAGTAGGTACTGAAATATTAGTTTCCTTCTTTCTTCATCCCAAGAAAATGTCATCAGATTGAATTTTCAGACACAAAAGCACCTAACATAATAAAAGATAATTCTATGTATGGATTAAGCAGACTGAAATGTCATCGTGTAAACTGTTGTATTTGAAATCATGTTTGAACACATTTATACAGCAATTGAGGCATATAAAAGACAAACCTTAACTAGATCTGTATTAGATATGTTTTACAAAACAGATATTGATCACATAATCATCAGATTGTCAAAAGACTTCAGAGATGACTCCAAATAGAGCTAAAGTACTAAATACAAAAATTAAATCAAACATCAAACAAACAGACAAAACCTCCCAAAAACTTATTTCTAAGCCTCCAGAATTTCAGGCTGACCAGGCTAGAGAAACCCTATGATTTTAGGAAGAGAGTTTTAGATCTGAAAAAACTATAACTATCTGCTATTGATCATGGTAGAGGGCAAAGCCTGAAAATTGATAGCTCTAAATGCTTGAGAAAGAAACATTAACTAGGGAAGATGCTTCAGAATGATCACTTTGAAGTAAACACATAACAGAGGAAAATTTGTGCTAGACACAAAAAAACCTAATAGGATTTAAAAAAATAAGTAATCTCCTCCCTGTTTATAATTTAAACAACTTCTTTTTTTTTTTCCAGGCACAAGAAAGCTTTGATTCTATCTTTGATGTATACAGTTATGTTAATCCTTACTTTTTAATAATTTTAAGTAAATTCATACAGTAACCAAAGATGCTAGCACTAACAGTGTTAAATTAGTTTTTACTTGAGACTTTATATTTACTTGCTGAGTCTTTTTGACTGTTACCTCTTTTTGAAACTCTTATCCAATTTTCCTCCTCATCTTTTCTTCCCTGCATCCTCAAGACCCTCTTGTTTCTGCTGTGTTCTTGAAGGTGTACACTGATAAAAGGCCATAAGTATGTTGTATGTGAATTCTGTGAAGACCATGTTTGCCACTTGAGTACCTTTACATTTTGTTAACAATTAAAGATCGCCCTGACTTTGTAAGTAAAATAGGAAAAGCACATATCTAGATGATTGTCACAGAAACCCACAGGCACTGGAAACAGATACATTCTAAAATACATTAAAAGTAAAATAGTATGTGTCTAGCATGTGTAAGCACTTAATAAATGCCAGCGACTTTTATTATTAAAAAAAAGTAATTGCTGGAACAAATTAAGCTATTCAGTGGTAAATTTCCCTTTGGAAACAATGTTCAAACAAAGTAACCTCAGTACTTCTTTGACAAGGATATTATATATTCTATGTAACAGGAATTCTCTGGAATATGATGGTCCAGTGTTGACTACCTGGGCATTTATGCTGAATATTCCATGGTGGCAGCTGAGAAAAATAAAGCATCTCCACTGCAAAGCAGAATGTAAAAAACAATGGAATGGCAGGCAGAAGCTGACTCAATTATGGGGGTACAGGTGGAGTTGAACCAAGCCGCGTTCACCAATGCTGATTCACAGAGAAAGGGCATCAGAATCAGCTGAGTTATTAGTTAAAATTACTGAGTCCGGGGCTTCCCTAGTGGCGCAGTGGTTGAGAGTCCGCCTGCCAATGCAGGGGACACGGGTTCGTGCCCCAGTCCGGGAAGATCCCACATGCTGCGGAGTGGCTGGGCCCGTGAGCCATGGCCGCTGAGCCTGTGTGTCCGGAGTCTGTGCTCCGCAACGGGAGAGGCCACAACAGCGAGAGGCCCGCGTACCGCAAAAAAAAAAAAAAAATTACTGAGTCCTTCTGTCAAACCTTATGAATAAAAAGCACCAGCTGTGGGGCACTTATTCAAAAATTTTCACAAATACTATAATACTGAATACACAGTCAGGTTTGAGTAATTGGTGATCTAGATGATTTCTAACAATTCTTTCAGCTCCGAGATTCTAAATGTTAGGTGAAGGATAATTAAGTGGAAAACAGGCTTAGTTGTAGAGCATGGGCTCTGGAGTCAGAGTGCCTGGTTTGACCTGTGTAACCTTGGCCTAATTGCCCCTCTTTGCTTCTAGGCTTCGTTTTTAAAATGGAGGTATTTATAGTACCTACCTTATAGGATTGATGTGAAGACGATGCATGTGAGATAATGTACATAAAGCACTAGAACAGTGCTTGGCACTAATAAGTCCTTAATGAATGTTAGCCATTAGTGGTATTAAACTACCACCACCACGTCTGGAATGCCAGTGCGCAGATATGTTGCAGAAATCCTACTTGCGAACAATGACATATAAACCATGACTGAAGCTGCTGGCCAGGATCATTCTCCAGGCAACACTAACTAGCTTATATGAGAACTTTTCTAGCCTTCTTAATGTCCAGTTCTAATTGAGCTAAATATCTCAGGAAGGGACTCAATCCATTGTATAAACTAATGCTTATACATTACTAACTATACATTAGTTTATATAAACTAATGCTTATGAAGCACTCCTAGTTTACAATTTGTAATTTTCTCATTTATATACTTGTTTACCCTTTAAGGTAAATTCTGTAGTTTAAGAAGATAAGAGGCTTTTCTAAAGCAAGAATAAAACAAAGTTTGAACATTCCAACAGGTCAGCATATAAGGAGGCTTTGCCCATCTCATAATCTATGTTGGCTCCAATCTTCATTACTTTTTGGACTAGAACCCAAATGCCTGATTTCAAATATAAAACTTCCTCTGTGAGCATATAGAACTTTCGAAGTCTTTGGTTTTGCCTTTACCTGATAATAATACAAACATGCATTAGTAAAAAATACACACCAAATTAATCTCTTCTGCATTGAAATCCTCAGCCAGGAAAGCAGTCCTAGTTAAAACTTCATGGCGCTTGGTTTCATGAATCTGATCCAGTTTAGTCCCTATTACCAACAGTGGGATTTGGTTATCAGCAAACTGTTCCCGGTCATAATCCCTGTGATAAATAATAATGAAGAGGTGAATAGAATTTACCTTTCTGATGTAGATGTGTAATATTTAAATGCAACTACTCACACTATTTTACAGATACTTCACTGACTCTTGCTCACCCATTACCTATAAACTTACTTTTCTCCCACCTACTTGTTCATTTTTTCAATCAATCCTCGCCATCTTTCAAGTTCCAACTATTAATTCAACTACTCAAAATTTGTCCCATGGGTCTTTATAGACTACTTGAATAAACTGAGTGCCCACCAGGTATATGAAAGTAGGTTGACTTGACTTCTCCCAAAGCTCTGTCTTCTAAGGCTAACAGCTCAGGAATTATTCTGGGTAGATGCAGAGAGTGGATTCAAACCTCTGTGGAGAGAAAACCCAGTACCCTAGCATGGCAGTCACGCCTTTTGCCAGAGGGGAAAATGTCAAGCTTCTGGGTACCTCCTGGGGTATGCATAAGCTTTACACCTACCATACTCATTTCTGTCTATGAATAGTAAAGAAAAATAGATCATTTTAGGAAAATCAGAAATAGGACTGCTGAAGGCCAGCATAAATCAACCATAGGTGATGCTACAGCCTGGGGAAAGATGGATTCAACAAATGGAAAGGGAAAGAAACAACTGAAATGCAAAATGAATAGTAAAAGGAAAGAATTAAGTACCAAATAGTTGTTTGTCCTGACACAAGAGCTGTGGGAGACACAGAACAGGTAGTAAGAATCACTTAGGGTTAGTGGCCTTGGGTCACTGTCTTTCTATTACTGAAAGGAACATAGAGCCCAATGTTGTTCAATTAATATAAATTCTACTCACATATGAGAAATGAAACAGATTTGGAGTTTTGACATATTATAAGCTCAGTTTATAACAGTCAGCAAAATCTGGTTGCGACACATTATGAGAGTAAATCAATATTGCATAACCCAATCAATACAAACCAGGTGAGCATAATTTTTTTCCTTCCTTTGACATCACTCTTCTTTCTCTTTGAATAATCTAAATTGTGTTTGTGTGTGCGCCTGCGCACAAGAACTTACCAAATCTTTTTGCCCTTCACAATAACCTTACAGAGCCTCAGTTACTGTTCAGACTTGGAACAAAATTGTTTTGAATTATGTTACCTCCCATTTCATAAAAATACTATAATCCTAATTACTGCATCAAAGCCAACAATAGTTTGAGTTCAAGGCCTTTGATTCTTCTTACTAACATCAATGTTGACTTAGGAGACATGGTCCAAAACTGAAATTTGCTTTATTAGAGAATAAAGTTTTGAAAGTGCCCTCCTTTAGGACTTTTTTTCCCTTATAGTCTAACTCTGGCTTACATACAACTTTTTGTATATATTTTATCAAACATCATCTTTGATACACATATTTGCCACTTGCAGTCTTTCATAATCTCTTGCACATTAACATATATATTTATTGTATATATGTAACATAACATATATGTTGCACATAATATATGTATATTTACAATCTGTTCTCTTATTTCTCTTTTTAACTTTCCTTTTTCTCACTTTCTTTCATTAAATCTTATATCCAATTTGAAATTTGATCTCAAAATCCTTTTTTTCTTTTTAAATCATTAGGTAAAAAGCAAATGGGGAATTTTATCATGAATGGATAAGTCTGATAATACCTTAACATCACAAAGAGACAGATAACCAGGTATTGTATTATATGCTCTGTACCACTTAGGCAAAAACAAAAAACCTTGCATCTTTCAGGCCACTATATTTAACTACCATTATGAAGAAGATTAGGATTCAGAGAAACAAATAATGTTGGAACAATTGGACATTCATATACAAAAATCGACCTCAACCAAACCCTCACACATTATAACTAACTCAAAACAGATCATAGATCTAAAAGTAAACCAAAACCTGTAAAACTTCTAGAAGAAACACAGGAGAAAACCTGCATGATCTGGGATTAGGCAAAGAGTTGTTATACATGATTCTAAAAACATAATACATAAAAGAGAAATTAGACTTCATCAAAATGAAAAATTATTGCTTTGTGAAAGATACTGTTAAGAGAATGAAAAGACAATCTACAGAGTGGGAGAAAATATTTGCAAATCAAACATTTTACAGAATGTTATTTTGGAGGGTACATTCCTGGGATTGCTATAGCATTTCAAACCAACTGTGAAGTAATCTGGGCTTACCCATTTGTTACCAAGACTCCAGTTGGCACCAAATCCCTGTTGAGAGCTTCCAATGACCAACGATACAAGTTTTGGGATGACTTCTTATTTGTTAAGTCATGGACTAAAATAATACCTAAAATAACCAAAGAAAATAATGTCAATATTGTAACAACTCCTCTTCATTTCACAATTGGCAAAACATTAGGTTGCTTACCGAATGCATTTTGGTACGACTAACAAACTCAGACACAATTATTTTTAAATTTCCTCTGTAAATTCTTGCAAATAATTATTTAAAAATAATTATCTAAAAGCTTTTCTTTGTCAGTTATATAACTTTTAAAAACTTCTACAAGGGCTGACAGATGTCATTAAACTTTCAGAATGTCTTCTTTTTTTCTTCATTCAACACTTAATGAGTGCCTATTCTGCCTGGTCCTAATTACAGAACTACTTCATCAATAAAAAGAATCAAAACTACTTCAAGTATATAGGAAATTATATTCATTCAAAAAGGTTATTTTTTTCCACACTATGCATCTGTCATAGACATCATACATACACATATTACTTACACTCATTAAAATATTTAATAATAAAAATTTATTAAAATGGTATTGATTTAATTTGATACAATTCCTATTCTTTAGCTGACAAGATGTTTTCTTGTAGATCACCTGAACCTAATCAACTCAAAAGTCTAATCATTTAGTTCTTCGGATTAATGGCTAGCTATGTAAGCTTGCTCTACCTGTAAGAGATCTAGTTAACAAAGCAAAAGAAATGTGCCACTAGAAGGAGGTAGGAAAAGATAGTCAAGAAGTATGAATAGTAGAAAACAGATGGACTTTTAAGAGATTGAAAAATAGCAAAATGTAATAAGGTTTAGAAATACAATTAAACAGAATCAGTTAAGATCCTGGACAGAAAGGTAAAGCAGGTTATTACAATATGATATTGACAAAAAAGGAAAAGCTTTAATGCCTAGTGAAATTTAGGGTACCATCTTGTGATCAAGAGACAATAGGTTTTTAAACCCCCAACCCTTGCCTATATTACCCAGATTCTACTGTGAAGAGAGAATGTGAAACTGATGATTCTTCCATCTTCAAGATGTAAGATGTGTAAATTTGAAAAAGAAGGGCATAAGAGTTAGAATTATTTGGCTCCTCTAGTTTTTACAGACATTGTGCAACTAAGGTGCTTGTGCAAATTATAGTTGACTAGTTCCAGTTAGCTCAGATAAATCTGTATCTCTCCTGGGATCTGGAAAAAATAGAGATCTGACACTTGCCCCCGTGTCCAACTGCATTCACTCTACTTTCCTCAATGAGGGGCTCTATTAGGCATTAAGGAAACATGAACAAGGATAGATTTTAAAAAAGGAATAAAGAGCTACCGTTAAAGAATATAGCTAACATTTATTCAGTATTTATGTGGTAAATATTGTGCTTTACGTCTGGCATCTAATTTGATTTTCAGAACAGTCCTATGAGGTAAGAATTATTATCTTCATTTTACACATGTGGAAACTGAGGCTCAGAGAGGTTGAGTAACTTACCCTAGATCACATGGTAAGTGGGGTAGCGGAATTTGAAATCAAGTATTCTGACAGTAAAAGATTAGAGGAAGACAGAATAAAGTCACTTCAGGGCAAAGGGAGTGGAAGATACTTTCTCCTCTCCTTATTTCCTAGGTATAAATACCACAAAACTATGGGTGGGTTTGGTTGGGAGAGTGAAAAGATTACAAAGGCCTAAATGAGCTATTAGATGCACAGGGAGGAGTTTATTTTTTGAGGATCTCTATTTAAGGCTTTTGAGCTTTTAAGGGCATTGAGCACCTTTTTCCTTATTTTCCTTCTTTCATTTGGGCTGAGAGTTCCTGCTTTGTAGATTACGAGCTAGAAGGGATGGGACACAGTGAGGCCCAAAGGAAAGAAGTCAGGGTGATAGCTGATCAGAATATGTTCTAAATCTTTAAAAATAGAGAGGTAGAGACACTTTACAGGTTTCCTTTGGGGATTACCAGCCTCATTCATCACAGTGGGAAGAGGTAGGGTATTGAGGGAAGGAAGTTATTGCTAAGAATAGACTGTATTTGAATGGAGTGATCCTTATGCTCTGTTTCTTAGAAAACTAAGGATGGTAGATGGAGTAAAGAACCTTGAACGCTTCTACCAAGAGAAATGTTCCAGAGGTAGGCTCGAAGAACACAGAAACTGATTTTCTTTCTTTTTCATTGAAGTATAGTTGATTTACAATATTGTGTTAGTTTCAGGTGTACAGCAAAGTGCTTCAGATATATATATATATATATATATATATATATATTCAGATTCTTTTCCATTATAGGTTATTACAATATATTGAATATAGTTCCCTGTGCTATACAGTAGGACCTTATTGTTTATCTATCTTATATATAGTAGTTTGTATCTGCTAATCCCAAACTCCTAATTTATCCCTCCCTGCCTTTCCCCTTTGGTAACCATAATTTTGTTTTCTCTGTCTGTGAGTCCCTATTAAGATTGCTCTTAATAGGGAGTTGTTTTTTTTTTTTTTTTTTTTTAAGAAACAGGAATATCTCTCAGTCTTACTTGTAAAACTAACATAGGATATATGAAATTACTTCAATAATATTTAAGGAAGACACAAATCACTAATGGAGAGTAGGTATAGAAAAGATAACCAAATAAATATGGATTTAGATGGATTTCTTCAGTACTTACTAAGCTTACAACTCAGAATTCCATAAAGTTTCTAGGATCTGAATAGTCTTTATTATTTATTTATAATTTTTATCCTAACTCTTTGTCAAAAAGATCTAAACAGGAAAAGTGTTATTTATCCAAACTTTTCTTTGCCAAATCGGATTGATATCAACTTTGACAAGTCATTTGACTGATATAATCCAAGTTTATCACTTGATCCTAGATCTAAACCAGGCTTCATTTCTTTCTCTCCTGCTCTTTAGCAAGTCACCTAATACTATACCAGTCTTATCTTACTGTTTTTTCATTTATATACATTCTATTAATATATGCCATTATCATGTACTTTATCATGTATCATTATGATGTCATATATTAATGTCACCATCTTAAACTGTGTTTTGTTTCATTTATGAATATTTTGTTTCTTCAATTAGATTGTGACACTTTCAGATAGAATTCCGAGCTAAATGCGACATAGGTCTGAACTAACATGACTCATCCTGTATTCTACAGTACGCATCCAATGACAAGAGCCTTCTCTACTTTTTTGAAGTATCTACAGCACCTTATGATATGGGATAAGATATTGAAAGAGGAATATAAGTAATGAAGATGGTACTGAATAATTACAATGCTTACTTAATATAGAATGAGATCTAAGCATAGTATAAATGAAGGCCAATTAATAGCTAAGCATCTACCAGAAAGGAAGGGGTAAGATACTAAATCTTTTGGTACATCAATCAAAGAGAAGTTGAAATTATATTCCACAGTAAAAAAAAAAAAGGTAAAAAATGAATTAAAGAGAAGATAAAAAAATTCTATAGGTAAATCACAGGTGTCAGTAGTTTAGTTCCTGGACACAGAGTAGGCACTCTATGAACTGCAATTATGTCCTATTACACACCTCTACCTGGAAGTCTGCTCCAGGTGTTTGTATATCTATAACTGGATGAAATTTCTGCACCCCTAAAAACATCCTTAGGCAGCTTTTATAATTACACAGGACTCTAAGGAGCAGATGAAAAAAAATCTCAGTATCTCTGGGACATCTGGCTTAGACCATGGGACTCCTAATGGTATATATACTCAGTTGACTGAAGAAACAGCACTCCCAGGGGACAGTGTTTTGGAAGGTTCCATGTTTTATGTCGAGTACCCAAACTATCTCTCAATATTTAGTTTATGACAATAATATAAATAGAAACACTTAGACAAAGCAAATATCTAATGTTCTGAAATACATAGTTAGAATCTAAAAAACATGAACTGGAATGTGATATGCAGATTTAAATTAAGAGTTGGGGGTATCTTAGATCTTTCTTAAATTAAGATGAGTCCAGCATTCCTCATCAGATGATCTGAGACCATTAATATATGGTAAAAATAAAAAATGTTTTACCATTTACAGAGTTGTAGAATACTGCTCTTGTGCTTTTCACACTGCTGGCACTGCCCACAGAGCCTCCAACATCCCAAAATTCTATATAGTAGGTCTTCTCTTCTGGGGTTCCTTCTTTGTAGTCATGAACCTAACAAATCAATCCATCAAAATAATTATTATAGCCACTAAGAAAACTCATAAACACCCTCATTCCAGTTTAAAGCACTGAACATTCCATATCAGCAGCTTACCCTCTGACTCTAATCACCACCTCCTATCTTTACAGCTTCCTCTCTCTAACACTCCAACTCTAATAATAATCTTTGACCCCAAAGGTCCCTATAGTTCATGGATCCTAACACCTTCCAAAGTCCCCCCTTCCACTTCCAAACCTTCACTTCCTTCCTAACTAAGCATAAATTCTGCTATTCGTCATTTTAATCTCTCCTTTACTCTTCCCTCACATAGTATTCATTAGACAAAACTCCAGCCCTGATTATATCCACCTTTTCCTGTATTCCATGTCTGCAACCCAGCTAGCGAGTGTAATGTTCAGAAAAATATACATTCAAGCTAACTGGATTCATTTTAAATTCAAGTCTACCTTTGGAGCTCTCTGTCAATCAGTTCCATAGTTTATTTCCTCTTTTCCTCCCCTAGGTAACTATTTCACACTTACTCCTATTTTTCAAACTTCCAATCTCTCTTCCTTGTCCTCAGGCACAGCTAATAATCTTGCTTCCAGAGACAGAAGCAATCAGAAGAGAACTCTACAACCTGCTCTTCGCTTATCTATCCACTCCCTGTATCTGTACCCATATAATCTGCTTTCCTTGCAGCTATTATAGATAAACTGTCTGTGTCTCTAAGGTCAAATCCCCTTCTTATGCATAAAATCCCATCCCTTCTTTCTTATCAAAGAGGTAGCTCTATCAATTCTCCCTTTCATCATCAAATTATCCCTCTCTGTTGGATTAATTCCCACCAGCGAACAACCATGCCATAATTTTTCCCATCTTAAAATAACCTTCTCTTGGGCTTCCCTAGTGGCACAGTGGTTGAGAGTCCGCCTGCCGATGCAGGGGACACGGGTTCGTGCCCTGGTCCGGGAAGATCCCACATGCCGCGGAGCGGCTGGGCCCGTGAGCCATGGCCGCTGAGCCTGTGCGTCCGGAGCCTGTGCTCCGCAACGGGAGAGGCCACAACAGTGAGAGGCCAGCGTACCGCAAAAAAAAAAAAAAAAAATAACCTTCTCTTGACCTCATGTCTTCCTCTAGCTGCCAAACCACTTCTCTATGCCTTTTTACGGCAAAAGCCCTCCAAAGAGTTGTCTCTTCTCAACTGTCTCTGATTCTTTTCCTTATATTCTCTTTTGAACTCATTCCTGTCACACCTTTTGTCCCAGTCACCCCACTGAAATATTCCTTATCAAGGTCATTAATGGCTTCCACACTGCTAAATCCAACTATCAATGAATAGTTTCCATCTTACTCTATCATCTGATAAAACTAATCACTCCTCTTTCAATACTTTCTTCACTTAACTTACAGGAATATCATACTGTTCCGCTTTTCTTCCCACCTCACTGGCTAAGCCTTTTCAGTCTCCATTTGGGTTGTCCTCATCTCTCTACCCTCTTAATTGTTAGAGTGTTCCAAGGTTTAGTTCTTGGATATCTCGCAACACTTGCTCTTTTGACAATTTCATCTACTCTTATGATTTAAAATGTCATAAATACGTTGATGAATTCCAAATTTATATACATCCTGGAGCAGTCCCTTGAACCTCAGACTACCATATCACCTAACTACAATTTGGATGTCTAACAGGCACCTCAAATTTAACATATTTAAAAATAATAACCCAATCTTCCTCCCAAACCCATTCTTCTCCCAGTTTTCTCTGATCCAGTAAAAGGCAATTCTAGCCTTCTAGTTAGTTGAAGGGCCAAAAACTTAAGCGTTAACTTAACTCTTAACTTAAAACTTAACTCCTCTCATACTGCATATCTGATTTGTCAGCAAATTCTGTTGCTTTTGCCTTAAAAAAATATCCAAAACCTGTTCATTTCAAACCATCTCAACTATTACCACCCTCAAAGCCTCTATCTATCTCTTTGCCTGAATTAATGTAATCATCCCCTAACTGATTTCCCCACTAGAGCCTCACCGACTCACTTTCCCACCACCCTCCATTTGTTCTCCAAATAGTAGCTAGAGTGATCATTTTAAAATGAAAGTTAGATCATATCCCCCTTCAATTCAAAACTCTCCAATGACTTTCTTACTCAGAGTAAACTCCAAAATCTCTCTCTTTCTCATGGTCTAGACTCTATAAGAATTTACTGCTTATATTTCAGAAACGAAATCTGATATATGGCAACCTTATCTATTAGAATATAGACAAGAGCCAGATTATAATACGGTGGTTCAGGGGTGTACATCAGAATCTTTCAAGGTTTTTTTTTTTAGAAATAAACATGCCAACAAAAGCAAAAAATAAACAAGTGGGACTACATCAAATAAAACAGCTTCTACACAGCAAAGGAAACGAGCAACAAAGTGAAAAGGCATCCTATGGAATGGGATAAAATATTTGCAAATCATACATCTGATAAAGGGTTAATATCCAAAATATATAAAGAAATAATACAATTCAATAGCAAAAAACCCAATTTAAAAATTGGGCAGAGGAACTGAATAGACATTTTTTCAAAGAAGACAAATGGTCAACAAATACCTGAAACGGTGCTCAATATCACTAATCAGAAGGGAAATGAATATCAAAAGTGTGAGATAGCACCTCACACCTCTTAATATGGCTGTTACCAAAAAGACAAGAGATAACAAGTGTTGGTAAGCATGTGGAGAAAAGGGAACCCTTGTACACTACTGGTGGGAATGTAAATTGGTTCAGCCACCATGGAAACAGAATGAAGGTTCCTCAAAAAGTTAAAAATAGAACTACCATATGATCCAGCAAGCCCACTTCTGGGTATATATCCAAAGGAAATGAAAACAGGATACTGAAGAGATATCTGCACTCCCATGTTCTGTGCACAACAGTCAAGATATGAAGACAATTCAAGTGTCTGTCAATGGATGAAGGAATAGAGAAGATGTGATATACAGCCATGAGATGGAATATTATCCGATTATTCAGCCATGGGGCTGGGGTGGGGGGGCGGTGGGGAAATCCTGCCATTTGAGACAACATGATTGGATCTTGAGGGAATTATGCTAAGTGAAACAAGCCACTCAGAGAAAAAAAAAAAAAACAACTGCATGCTATCACCTATATGTAGAATCTAAATAAAAAGTTAAACTCATAGAAACAGAAAATAGAAAAGTGGTTGCCAGGGGTTGCAGGGGTGGGGGAAATAGGGAGAAATTGGTATAAAGGTACAAATTTTCATCTCTAAAATGAATAAGGTCTGAGGACCTAATGTATGATATGGTGACTGTAGTTGATAACACTCTATAGTATAACTGAAACATGCTAATACAACTTAAATGTTCTCACCAAATAAATAATAAATAAACATGTGAGGTGATGGATGTGCTAATTAACTGGATGGGAGGAATCCTTTCACAATGTGTAAGAATATAGTAAATCATCACAATATACACTTTAAATATCTTACAACTTTTTTTGTCAATTATATCTCAATAAAGCTGGAAAAAAAAGTCCTTAAAAAAAAAGAAATATACATGTCAGACTTACTGAATCCGTAACTTTGGGGTCCAGTCCTTGGCATGCATAATTTGAACAATTCTCCAAATGATTTTGTTGTAACCTCTAGTTAAGAATTACTCATTTTATACAATGGAACTCTTTTGGTATCAGGAAGCCTAGACTATATTCATTGATTGCTACTAATTATCCCTGATATCTTTGAGTCTCAGTTTCTTTGCTTACAAAACGAAGAAGTTATATTCTGTATATCAAATGGCTCTGAAATAACAGAAAGCAAGATAGCTGAATAGTTAAAATAGATGTCATAAAATGCATATATCAATATGTTTAACAGAATGCTTCATACTTTTTACTTATTCACATTTTTTTTGGGTCCAAATCCTTTTGTCCAAGGAAAACTTTAAGTAAATAAGATATTCTACAGATAGCCACATTGACGTTAAGATAAGACAATTAGCAGACTGGCAACAAAGAGGATAGGACACAAAAATGACAACAGCAAAATCACAGCAGTTGGGGACCATTGTGGATAATAGAAAGTAATCTTGTATACTGTGATAAAAGGTATCACTATTTTGCTATAAGGCATAAATAACTGATAATATGTGAAAATGTTAAGTCATCAATAAAAAGGTTAAACTACATGAATTCTGTTTATGAAAGCAAGGAAATTTATAATATCAAGATTTCTAAGCAAAACCACTGAAACGAACAATACAAGGTATTATAAGGAGTCAGTTACCTGGTATCAAAAAGCTCAACTACTTTAGTGAAGCTTTGTTGATCCTGCCACCCTCCCTGGCTCCAAAGCCAATCAGGGCCAGTTAGGTACTCTTCTTATTTGCTCCCATAACATCCTGCACAGTTCTATCATTTCACTAACCACACTGTCTTATTTATCTGCTGATATCTCTTCTATTAGACTCTGAGCTTAAGAGCATGGACCATATTATTCATCTTGGTAGGCCTACAACATAGCATAATACCTGGCACATATTAGATGCTTTGATATGTTTAGTTAAATCAAGGAATAAATTCAGGATATATCATCCTCTAAGGTTTTATTATACTCAGTTTATTATTTTACTGAATTCCAGTGCTTCTCAGGTACAGTTCTAAGAACAAATTAAATCAGAACCAATAGGAAGGCTTATTTTAAAAAATACAGATTCTTGGACAACTCTTGAAGCTTCTGGGGTGAGGCTCAAGGATCTGTATTTTAAAGAAAGCTCTCTAGGAGATTCTCATACATAATTAAGCTGGGCAACAATTTAAGTACATCATTTTTTTTCTCTAAAGTTATTTCAAATGTCTAATGTTTACAGACTGTAACTCCTTCCAGAATAGCCACTATGTAATACAACTTCCAGGTAGCATGCCCTCTTAGCCTTGCAATGTACCAAGTCTATTAGCCAGCTCCCTTTTGGCTACACACGCTCCCAAGCCAGATTC